GGAGAGAACATTAAGGGAAGGGGACAATGCAGGGGAGTGCGCTTGAAGCTCCAAGAAGGAGTGGAGTTGGAAGAGGATTTTCTACCCCTCCAATTAGGTAATTCGGATGTGATCTTGGGGATTCAGTGGTTAGAGAAGCTTGGAGTCGTGCTTACAAATTGGAAGTTACAAGAGATGACATTCACACTCAACAACAGATCGGTCACAATTCGGGGTGACCCGGGTTTGGCTCGAACGGGTATTACTTTAAAAGCCATGATCAAGACTCTACGAAAGGAGAACGGAGGGTTACTTGTTGAGTTGAACCGCATCGAAGGCACGCAGGAAGAAGTGAGGGCAGAAGAAGTTCCTGACTATTTGGCAGAAGTGTTACAAGAGTTTAAGGGGGTTTTTGAGCCTCCAAAAGAGCTGCCGCCTACCAGAAATCATGAGCACTCAATAATGCTTAAGGAGGGAAATAACCACGTGAGCGTCCGACCATATCGATATCCTCAATTCCAAAAGGATGAAATCGAGAAACTCATCGGGGAGATGTTAGAAGCCGGGATTATTAAGCCTTCGACTAGTCCATTTTCGAGCCCGGTTCTTTTGGTGAAAAAGAAAGATGGATCGTGGCGATTTTGTGTAGATTACCGTGCCCTAAACAAAGAAACCGTGCCCGATAAATATCCCATACGCGTGATTGATGAGCTCCTTCACGAGTTGAATGGAGCACAAGTGTTCTTTAAGCTCGACCTTAAGGCCGGGTATCACCAAATTTTAGTGAAGCCGGAGGACACACATAAGACGGCTTTTCGCACTCACGAGAGCCACTACGAGTTCCTTGTGATGCCGTTTGGCCTCACAAACGCTCCGGCCACCTTCCAATCGCTCATGAATGAGGTATTTCGGCCTCACTTGCGTAAATTTGTCCTTGTATTTTTTGATGATATATTGATTTATAGTGCTAACAAGGAAGATCATATTATGCATTTGAGAGTTGTTTTAGCCACACTTGAGAAACACACGCTATATGCAAATATGAAAAAATGTGAATTTGGTAAAGATATAGTGGCATACTTGGGCCACGTCATATCCAAGGAGGGGGTCTCAGTGGATCAGGAAAAGGTTAGGTCCATGATAGCTTGGCCCACTCCTAAATCCTTGAGAGACTTAAGAGGATTCCTTGGGCTCTCTGGATATTACCGCAAGTTCATTAAAAATAACGCCCAAATTGCCTTTCCTCTTACTGACCAGCTAAGGAAAGATAATTTCCGGTGGAGTGCCATGGCCGACAGTGCTTTTCAGCAGCTCAAGGAAGCTATGGCATCAGCTCCGGTATTAATTATGTCGGATTTTCAGAAGACCTTCATAGTCGAATCCGATGCATCCGGGTTCGGTCTCGGGGCAGTCCTAATGCAAGAAGGGCGACCCGTGGCTTATTTTAGCAAGATGCTTGGCCTAGGAGGTAGGAGTAAGTCGATTTATGAGAAGGAATTGATGGTCGTTTGCTTAGCGGTGCAAAAGTGGAAACACTATTTGTTAGGGAGGAGGTTTGTAGTGAGGAGTGATCAACAGAGCCTCAAATATATCACCCAACAAAGGGAAATTGGAATGGAGTATCAAAAATGGGTGCGGAAGTTGATCGGTTTTGATTTCGACATTCAATATAAGCCGGGAATTGCTAATAGGGTGGCGGATGCCCTTTCGAGAAGGGGGGAAGATGAGCAGAGCTGGGAATTGGGAGCGTTGCTGTCAACGCAAACAGTGGATTGGACCACTTTGAAGCAAGAAATTGAGGGGGATAAGGAGCTGCAACGGTTGAAGGATGTCGTGGAAAACGGAGAAGTCGTGGCTGGGTACACAATTGAACACCAGCAGTTATGTTACAAGGGTCGCGTGGTGATTCCTCGCCATTCGAATGTCAGGGCTGCTCTGTTCAAGGCATACCACGACTCTCCGGATGGGGGTCATATTGGGGAGACCAAGACCTACTTGAGGCTAGGGGCAGAGTGGTTTTGGAGCGGCATGAGAAAGGATGTGGCGGAGTATACACGACAGTGCGTAGTGTGCCAGAGAAACAAAATGTCGCAACAATCTCCGGACGGGTTATTACAACCTTTACCTGTGCCCGAGCAAATATGGGAGGATGTGACAATGGACTTCATTGAAGGCCTTCCCCGCTCCAATGGGATTGACACTATACTTGTGGTTGTAGACCGACTGTCAAAGTATGCCCATTTTATCGGGCTTAAACACCCATTTACAGCCTACGGGGTGGCTGAAATTTTTGTAAGAGAAGTGGTGCGGCTACATGGAATCCCAGGAAGCATTGTCACCGATAGGGATCGAATTTTTGTAAGTATATTTTGGAAGGAATTGTTTCATTTGCAAGGGACCGGGCTGAAGAGAAGTACCTCCTACCACCCTCAAACGGACGGCCAGTCCGAGGTGGTCAACAAAAGACTCGAAACTTATTTGCGTTGCTTCGCAAGTGAGCACCCCAAATCGTGGGCAAAGTGGTTGTCCTGGGCAGAGTACTCGTACAATACCACCCCACATTCAACTACCCTTTGTACTCCCTTCCAGGCGGTTTATGGCAGGGAACCACCGCGTTTGATCAGGGTGGGAGTGGGGCAGACCCCAGTGGACACAGTTGAGGAGGTGTTGCGGGAAAGAGAATGCTAGATGAGTTGAAGTGCAATTTGTTACGCGCTCAGCAAATTATGAAGAAGAATGCAGACCTTAAGAGAAGGGAAGTGGAATTTTCTGTGGGGGATTTTGTGTTCCTCAAACTTCAGCCTTATCGGCAAAGTCATTGGCAAGGCGCCCCTTTGAGAAGTTAGCTGCTAGATTCTATGGGCCTTTTGAGGTCGGCCAACGTGTGCACGTGGGTAAAGTTGCATACAAATTGAAGCTACCAGAACAGTGCAAGCTCCATCCGGTTTTCCATGTTTCACAACTCAAGCAGGTGGAAGGTGTTAATCATAATGCGCCCACAATTCCAAACCAGATAACTCCAGAACTGGAGCTAGTGGTAGTACCTGAGGCTGTTCTAGAGACACGAGCGAAGGCAGGGCAGGGGGGGAAGTTGAGGTCCTTATTAAGTGGCACGGAGTACCTGAATTTGAGTCTACTTGGGAAGACCCTGCAGCTATCGAGGCCGCCTTTCCGGACTTCCACCTTGCGGACAAGGTGGCTGTTTTAGAGGGGGGGTATTGCAATACACTCATCCTCACCACCAATCACAATCACTTACAGCAGGAGACAGAGACAAAAGCAGCCACAGCAGGAGGGAACACAGCAGCAGGGGACGGTACACCACACCTCTCCTCCAGAAGCAGCAACGGGTCTTTAGTGCAAGGCAGTACTTTTGCGTATTAGCAATTCAGCAAGAGGACAAGAAAAGTAGTTAGAGTAATTAAGGCACTAGGCCAATGAGAAGAAGGAAAGGAGTAGTATAAATAGTGTAAGCCGTAATTGGCATAGGTATCCAGAAATTGTATGAGAAACTTTTGGAGAGTAATGGCCTAAAGTCATTGAACGTTGTACGTGTATTTGCAATCAGCTAATTCAATCATTTAACCTTTTGCTCAATTGTCCGACAATATTAGTTAGTGCATTCCATATTATAATTATTTATAAATTAACAAATTACATGAAACTACATTACACATATACTTAATTATATTAATTGATTAATCATAATTTTTTATCACCTTTTCATATTAAATAATTCTATGTTAGATTTGGCAAAAAAATAACGTAAATGCCTCATTTTGCTTATAAAAAATGTCTCAATTTACGTGTTCACATTTTAACACACAAAACGAGGCATTTACATTATTTTTTGCCAAATCTGGGCTCAATTTGGTCCCTTAATCCTAAGGACCAAAATAGCCCTTGAAACCTTTGACGGAGTATTTTTCAATGCGCAAATCGATAAAAAAATATTAATAATGGAGAGTGGGCCCCACTAACGGAATTTTTTAACGGCAAGGTTACCGTATGGAAACAAAAAAAAAATATATGTTGGGGCACAACGTAGAAAAGTGAAAAAAAAAAACAGGGTTATTATATAGGAAAAAAAAAATCCAATTAACTAAACTTATTTAAATTTAAATATTTTCCAATTAATTACATTGTAAGGGGCATTAGTACCCGAGATATTAAAAAAAATCAACTCAATGTTTGTATCGTTAGGCTTTTATCGCTCTTTATGACTTTATGTTCCAAATTAATAATACTTTGTCAAGTAATAATACTAATTATAATACTTTGTCAAAAAAAAAAAAAAAAAAAAAAAACTTTGTCAAGTAAGATTTAGTTAGATTGATTCACTCTATACATTACAATATTACATAGTCTATATATGTTCTTGTATTCATAATGCATGTCTTGATGTCTAATGCTGTTCTTGTATTCATGAATCATAATGTTTCTTAATGTCTTTAATAAGAACTGTTGTAAACACCAGCCTCTAAAATCTAGCAGAGAAAATAACTCTAAATCCTTCCCAAAATTTTAATGGTGTAACGTTACCCTAAATAAGCTAATAAGATAAGTTATTTATATAAATGGTCCCATTACTTTCAGTCACTGCAATTAAATAAAAGGCTTATACAAGGTATAAAATATTTGAGTTATTCAGTTATTGAATTTGGCATTTATCTATTTGATAGTACAAGGTATGAAAAACAGAGTTAATGAGTTATAGACTGATCGAATTTAGCATTTATCTAATCTAATACAGTAAATTACCTTTTTATGGTACATTCTACCATTCAGTGCATTACCAAAACAAAATTTTCATAATATACATCTAACCTTGGAATCAGGCACTTAGGCAGTGGTTTATATATAAACATATACTTTGTAGTTGACAAGATTACATCCTAGTCTTAGAGAAATCCTCAGGTCAAATCATCAAAATTGCCATTAGCCTATTTACAGAACTTAGCCCAGAACTTGTCAGTCCAAAACCTTGTCAGTTGTCACTAATCTCCAAAATTATTATTTATTTAATTCTCTGCCCGAACTCTCTTTTCTAGCTCTCTTGAAGCCCGATTGCCTGCGTTGCGTTTTCTACTTACTTTCTCCTTTTCCAATTCCACGATGCGTGATGAAAGGGAATCAAGTGGAAATTTCGACTCGAGCTTAAAATATGTAATGCATTTAACTACATCTAGGAGACTCTTTAATTCCATGGATTCAGCTTCAATCTGCAATACAAGTCATTAGCATACACAAAACATCATCAACTTGACAGCTCGATACAAAATAAGAGACCAGAAAACACAGAAGCAAATACAGTAAATTAAACTGGACACAAGAAATAAACTTCAGGTCAAAGAGAAAACCAAGAGGACAATTTAGGAAAGATTTCGATGTCCATAATTAGATAAAAGAGATGACTATGATGTCAGGAAGTTGATTATGTCGTCTAAATGAGGCCATATAATATGTCAAGTCAGATACTAAGGTTTTAAGTTAGGCAGCAGACGGGAAAATGAATGGCACAAAAACTCAGCTGATCCAGTATCAAGCACATGAGCCTATTTAATCATAGACAATACCAAGAACCAGAAACCTTTTATAAACTCTTACAAATCTTTAACCTGCTAATAGCATAATCACAATGAAAATGTCACCAAAAAAATGTTGTGTTTCCAATTTCCATAAAGAATGTACAGCAATTCACTACCTAGTTTGGTTGAACTAGTCCACAAGCATACCAATTTAGCAAGTGCGAGATAACAATAAACAAAACAAAATACATCCAAGTTTAAAAACTTCAGCTAAGTATTTGCATTTGCGATGCCAAAGTTTCCATGATTAAGACAGCCAAATTCTAAAGGCCTATACACAAAGTTTTGGTTTAATTGCCTCTGATTTTCTTATGCATAACAGGGAAAGAAATGATCTTGCTACAAAACTACGGAGTACCTTTGATTGATTAGTTCCATCCTTTTGGATCTCATTCACTCTTTGCTTCAAAAATTCCAAGTGATCTTCCAGCAGAGGTACTGGTGGAAAAGTGTATTCCAGCTTAAAAACGCAGATGAACTTGATTGCCAAAAGCCACTTCTTACTCTTAATAAGAAATCTGATGTGTTCTGTTTAATGTGAACAGAAAATATATAAGTAAAGTCAAAATGTGAGTAGGTCTAAAGAGCAGATAGCACCATTGACATATACAGACTTGATAATAGATGAAGAGACATCTACGATAAGACAAAACCACTATACGGTAAGACTCAAAATTTTATATGCACTTTCAAAGCTAAATAATGAAAAAAAAAGTCTCAAAAACTAGGAAGGTGAGTAGTATGAAATTCATAAACTAACTGCTAAATCATTCTAAAACAAATTTGTAGTAACCATTGACATACAAACTTCTTTTTCTCCCCACCCTCCTTCCCCTTTCAACTTTTTAAATAATTTGCATCACAAGATTCACAACTTCTCCCATATATCAGCCATTGTAGTGTCACCTGTCTAAAACTACTGATAACCTATTCGGAAAGAACCTCTTATAAATTATCAAATAATCCAATCTGTTCAAGTTCTCAATGACAGACTTAATATGTTAAATAAACACTATAATCTTGTAAGCATAATGTAATAAGCTCACACTATGTAAACTATGTCAAGCAGGCAGCAAAATTATGAATTGTTATACAGAAAGTAGAGTAGATAGTGATGATTATACCTGGGATCTTCTTGGAAAGTCCCAAAGCACGGCATAAATTTAGGTTCTCCTCACAGCGGTAGATGTAGTCATCATTGCCATCATAAAAAATTGTAAAAAGTGAGAGAAGCTCTTTATCATTGAAAATTTTAGCTAGTTTAAACTTAGCTAACAATTGAAAGAACTTAAAATGGTCTTTAACAGAATTACTCCCCTCCAACTTAGTTTTTAAAAGAGCAGCAATACTTTTTGCTTCATTTTTCAACTCAGGTGTAATTGGTGGTGATAATTCCATCAACAGTTCCAACAAAAATATGCAGCTAGTTTTACTAGCTTGGGTTTGAAGTTTATATTGGTATAAAGTTTTTAAGACACCAAAAACAAGCTTTCCAGGATCAGGTGCACACCTTAGCGCACTCAATATACTGTCATGCAAGATACTAAGCTCCTTCACATGCTTAACTAGACATAATCTCACACCATCCACGTCCATATTTTTGCACAATGAGGGAATCTCAGCACCAATTTCCGGTGAGGAAGGAGCTAAAACATTTTCTGCTATGGCGGTTTTTGAATCAGGTAACTCCTTACTGACTTGATTGAAGTTGCTGCTTACTGAACAATTAAAATATGTGAAACGAAATCATCAATTAGCACATACTAACAAAATAACAGGCACAATGAGCAAATACACATATAGTTGATGGGACTAACAACAATATTGATCAACTCAGCAGCTCATAGATCAAAAATTATAAGAGAGAACAGGGGATACAGGGACAGTTAATCATCCATGAATCAGAAAGGCCATTACGAAATGCAGTATCAAGTTATCAAACCACAATCTTTATACAACCCGGGTTAAAAAATGTTAAAACTCGAAATAATTTTGTTCAACTGAACAAAGAGGTTGTCTCCAAGAGACCCACATGGATCATATCATATCAATCTCAATTTATAACAAGAAAAGAATATTAAATTACGGAGTAAAAGAAAACTAAATAAATAAAAGGACTTGAATTAAAAGCAGCTAAAAGAAGGCAGTGGGAGAACAATGCAATGCTTACCAATCTCCGTCTCTTTTTGCTCTAGTGATTGACAACGAGATAGTATACATTTCTCATCACTTTCCTTCTTTAGTAACTCCTCCTGTTGGCCAGACTCATTAGTTTGCTTCTTTTTGAGTTCCAATTTTCGCCATCGTTCCTTGATTAATTTCTCTTCAAACTGTAGGCCCATGCTGCGACTATCAATTCGAGTTTCCGTCAAAGCCAATGCTTTACGACGCTCTGTGATTTGCTTGTCTTTGGTCTCCAATGCTTGATAACGCTCTTTAATCTCCTTTTCCTTCAGTTCCATTTGTTCATAACGCTCATTAAGTTCCTTTTCCTTGAATTTCAAATCTTCGTTTACTTTCACTTCTACTTGTGGGCAAAGTTCCATAACTTGTTTCTCTTTCGAATCCAAGGCCTTACTTTGTTCACTCAATTGCTTCTCTTTCACTTCTACAAATTGGCATTGATTTTCAAAGTCTTTCTCACTACTCTCAAGCCACCTCCAACGCGCATTCATCTCCTCCTCTTTCGACTCCATTTCTTTAAAACGATTGTCAAATTCTTTCGCCTTTAAATCCTGAGCTTGTGAAAGTTCTTTTATTTCTTTCTCTTTCAATTCCAACTTTTCACAGCTTTCCTTTATTTGCTCCTCCTTCAACTTCAACACTTCACACTGCTCATTCATCTGCCTCTCTTTCGACTCCAACACCTTACTTTGCTTACTCAATCGCTTCTCTTTTGCATCCACTGATTGACATTGCTTGGTTACATCTTTCTCACTAATCTCAAGCCACCTCTTTCGCGAATCCATTTCCTTCTCTTTCAACTCCATATCTTCCTCACACTCCCTAATTTGCTTCTCTTTAACTTCTAACATTTCACAACGCTCAACAGTCTCCTTCTCTTTCAACTCCCACTCCCGAGTTTGCTTTTCTTTAGCCTCTAACACTTCTAAACGATCATTAATCTCGTTCTCTTTAAACTCCACAGCTTCTTTAAGCTCTTGAATTTCCTTTTCTTTACCAAGTAACACTTCAAATCGATCATCAATCTCCTTCTCTTTCATCTTCATACCTTCCTCACCCTCTAATAATTCACGATGCTTATCCATCTCCTTCATTTTCAACTCCATAGCTTCTTCATGCTCCTGAATTCGCTCTTCTCTAGCCTTTAACACTCCAAAACGATCATCAACCCCCTTCTCTATCACCTTCAGAGCTTCCTCATGCTCCTGAATTCGCTTCTCTTTAATCTCTAACACCTCACAACGCTCATCCAACTCCTTCATTTTCAACTCCATATCTTCTTTATGTTCCTGAATTCGCTCCTCTTTCATCTCCAACACCTTGCAACGCTCACCCATCTCCTTCATTTTCAACTCCATAGCTTCTTTATGCTCCTGAATTTGCCTCTCTTTCATCTCCATTGCTTTACAACGCTCATCGACCTCCTTCTCTTTCAACTCAATACTTTCTTCACGCTCCTGAATTCCTTTCTCTTTAGCCTCCAACACTTCAAACCGATCATCAATCCTCTTCTTTTTCAACTCCACAACCTCTTCACACTCCCGAATTCGCTCCTCTTTAGCCTCTAACCCCACAAAATGCGCATCAATCTCCTTCTTTTTCAACTCCATATCTTCCTCACATCCCAAAATTCGCTTCTCTTTACCCTCCAACACTTCACAACGTTCATCAATCTCCTTCTCCTTCGCCTCGAACTCCTTCCATCGTTCCCCAACTTCTACCTCCTTCAATCCCAATCCCTTCTCTTTAGACACCAACATTCTACTCACTTCATTAATCTCCTTCTCCCTCAATCTAACAGCACTGAACAATTCATCAATTTCCTTCTCTGTCAACCCCAATTCATCCTCCTTTTCTTCCATCAAAACAAACCTCCTATTCAATTCTTCCGAAAATTCCTTCAATTTCTTCTCCCTCTCATCCAATCCATCCCCTCTCTCAATCATCATTACCTCCCTCAATCCCACCTCCTCCACCGCCGCCTTCGCCTCCTTCTCCCTCACACAACACTCCCTCTCTCTCTCCTCCACCACTCTCCGCCGCTCCTCCACCTCATTTTCTCTCTCCTCCACCGCCTTCCGCCGCTCCGAAACCCTCGCCTCCGCAACATCCAGCGCCTTAATACGCTCAAAACTCTCAGCAAATCGCTTCTCGCAAACCTCCACCTTCTCAACACGCTCAGCAATCTCTCTCCTCTGCAACTCCAAACACTCACACCACTCCTTAACCTGCTTCTCTCTCATCTCCACACCTTCAATCCTCTGTTTCAGCAAATTCTCCTCAATCTCCAACTTTTTCTGCCGCACTTCAACTTCCTTCTTGAAATTCTGCAATCTAATCATGTTCATGTCAATTTCTCTCTCCTTTGACTCAACCGCCTTGACTCGCTCCTCCACCGAGTTGTGAATCGTTCCGAGTGAGTTCTGTAAACTTCGCCATTGCTCGCCGAGTGTAAGAATTGAGAAGGAATGTGACTGGAAATCCTGAAAAGTTTCGCCAATTTTCTTCATCAACATTCTTGCAACCCTTAAATCGTTCGTAGTATTCTCCGATACTGACATGATTTATCCAAATTTTGACCAAAATAAAAAAAAATCGGAACCCTAAAAATTTCAAAATTTCACAAGAAATGATCCTAATGTTTCATACAAATAAACAAAGATTAAAAGTAATAATCATATACTCTGATCATTAACAGGGTAATATGAAGTAGGAAGAGTGCAGTAATTTCGTGGGATGATAGTGTAGTGAGAGAGAAAGTGAGAGTAGTGTATTACGGAGAACGGAGTAGAGCATACAGTAACGTTGTATAGAATAATAATAAACCGTGATGAAGAAGCTTCAAGATAATATTGGTTGAATAATGCGGTTATGTAGGAAGTTCAAAAGTTGCAGAAGCAATTCATCATTGGGCAGCAGATTTTTTTCCTTCTTTTTTTACTTTTTAAATTCTTGGGCATTGCCAAAATGTGGAATATCTCTTTTTTTTTTATTTGATGTGATGGAAATATCAATTTGGATTAGGGATGGCAATGGCGCGGGACGGGTCGGATGCGGATGATGGTACCTTCATATCCATATCCGCCTAAAAATCTTATACCCATCCCCGTCCCACCACCCGTGGCGGGTACAATATCCACATCCATACCCGCCCCAAAATCATCCCAAACCTATTGCCATGATGCTCTATTGTATCACATTATTGACAATTATATCAAATTAGGTTAAGAAAATTGGGACTTTCATTATTCAAGCTTATTGGGTCTTAGAGGGTTTCAAGTTTTATAAATTCTAAATTTTTCTAAAAGAAATATGGTGTCGGTATAAGATGGGTATGGAGCGGATATGGGGCGGGTCTACTCTAAAATCCATACCCACCCCATCCCCATGGCGGGTACACATTTTATACCCATCCCCGCCCCATCACCCGCCAAACCTCCTCCATCCCCGCCCCACTTGGGCGGGGATGGGGCGGGTCTCCCATTTAACCCGACCCACTGCCATCCCTAATTTGGATATATGAGTGGGTCTATTAAGGTGTGATTTGGTTTATTTTTAGAGTTGAGTCATACAGCCATGCTAAATTAATGTATGATGTGTCCATAATAGTTAAATTCTAAATTAGATTTTTATTTGCATCGATTAAATCATTTTTTTCATGCCTCTATAAAAATGCGAAGAATTAACTTTAATACACTTCTACGGAGTATTAAACTTTATATACTTGGATACTACAACTCAATAGTATGTCTTTGAAAACTACAACTCCGCATATTATTCCCTTTGTACCATAATATCATACCTGGTGTTTTTTTTCATTATACTTTCCAAGACTTATACTATAAGAGGCAACTCTACTTCTGTCATCCCTTATCGCAGGCCCTGGTTCCATATTAATTCAACAATTCATCCCAAAATTAGAGCCACATGTCTAAATCTAGAAGATTTTCATACCCGCACTCATATGAGTATTTCCCTCAAAATGGTAGTGTGTAAAAGGTAGTTCAAAGGTCCAAAATAGCCCAAGAATGAGCAAACACAATACGTGGCACCGAACTATTAACTTGCTAATTGGTAGCAGGTAAATTTATAGGTTTCTTTGAGATTGAACTTCGACAAACATTTACCTTGAAAATCTTTCTTTGATTCCTGGACTCCATGGAATTCAAAGTGCGTTTCTTCCCAATCGCCAAATGTGACTGATCAAAGCCAGGAAGAGCAACTCCCTCCCTCTCTAATTGCTTTATGCGCGATTCCAGAGGAGCAGGTGAAAAGCTGGACTCGAGCTTGAAATTGGAAATGCATTTAAGCAAGGTTCTTAGGGCAGTTAATTCCATGTTGACAGCATCCATTTAAGAAAGGATAGACAACAGCGTTGTCACTGCCTGTCTGGACTATTTCCTGCACTCTCTTCTTCACACACTCCAAATGACCTTTCAGTAGAGGAACTGGGGGGAAATCATCTTCCAACTTGAATGCACATATATATACAACTGCTTCAAGTTTCTCCTCCCTCGAAATTAGGGATCTGATAAAACCTATTCAATGAAATAATAATTTTGGTATGCACTCAGTGAAGAATAATCACAGAATTTTAATTTTGGAAGAATAATCACAGAATTAAATTTTAATACAGCCACAAATGATCAGCTGCAATTAAAAAGACTAACATAATAAAATAGAGGAAACATATGTTCATTAGAACAAACAAGACAAGCATCATAAACCTGCTTATTCCAACCAATTGAAAAAAAAAAAAAAAAAAAAAGAGTAAAAAAACAATAAAGCAATTTTTTCAATGATGTATAAAATTACATATATAGGCAGAGTTAAAACATGGGGCTATGTCTTTTACATCTACAATTCTACACAACGCAATGCCTCTAGGCAACTGCTTATACCAACTAGGCCAGGCTATAGACAGTTTCGAACTAAATAAAATCAAGATATCAAGGATGATTGATATAGATTTGGAGAAAGCTAGAAAATTTCATTATTACAATTGCTTATTAAATAGGCTTACAGGTGTAAAAGATACACAAATAGTTAAGTATATTCAAAGCATGGTATAATAACAAGTGAAAGGGTAGAAGCTAGTCAAATTCTACAAAGAATGGTATAATAACTTTATTCCATAAATGCAACGTTCCACAATTTTAATCTTCTAATCCCAAGCCCTCCTATCTCCATTGGTTTAGTAACATGATTCCATCCAAGCCTAGAGGTGTATTTAGTTCTGTCAACTTTATTCCATAAGAACTTTCGACAATGCCTTTCTATATCCTCACAAACTGAGAGAGGCAACATACTAGTTTGCATCAAATATACAGGAAAGGAAGATAAAACAGATTTAACAAGAGTGCATCTTCCTGCTAAGTTAAGTAACTTAGATTGCCATCCCTTTATTCTATCAAAAGTTTTAACTGCTAAGTTAAGGTTTAATTTCTGAGGGTTTGGTCCCAAATCTCTATTTTCATTATTTAATTAAATTGTTTTGTTTATTATTTTCCTTGAAGTTACTAACGTGTGTATTTTGTTATTAGAAAGAGGTACGAGGCATCAAAGTAAGTACTTTAATGGTTTTTATTGATGTTGTGATATAGAAATCATGTTTAGATTGTTATTATGATTCCTGGTATCACGTCTAGGGTAACTTTAATATCAAGTATGATTAAAAGTATGATGCTTCTTATGTTCTTCCTAATATTTATGATTGTTAGTATCATGTTAGGGTTAAAGTTTTGATCTTTATTGTTTAGTGACATGCTAAGGTTTGTTATTAATCTTGTTAGTATCATGCCCAGGATCTTGCGATGCTTTAACATGATTATTATTGTTATTAATATGATTGTTATTATGATGATTATTGTTTTGATTATTATTATGATTATTCTTTATGATTTATGATTATAATTGTCATAATTATTGTTATGATGATTATTTTTAATTATGATTGTTATGATTATAATTTTATTATTTTGATCATTATTATGTTGCTTGATATTATATATTTTTATTGCTTGATCACGCCTTTTATGCATGTTTAAAGGGAATTTGTACTTGTAATCACGCTTATATAAGATAATTAATAATCTTGTTAGGGTTAATATGATTATAATTCAAGTGATCGCCAATAATAGATTTATTTGCGCATTAAATTCAACCAACATAGATAAACAGGTTTAGGGTTAATCTTATTGATTGCATATTAGTCAGAAAGCGCACATGAATACGATCAGAATAAAGTAAAGGCCTATTATTAGAGCAGGTTCAATCTCTTTTAGGTTGGATTTGTACCTTCATCCCCGAACCCTTATTTGGTTCAAGACCTTATGGAGTTGACGATCTCTTGGATCGTTAAGGGGTGTAACCTTCACCCTGTGAACGGTTTACAAGTTCCTAAAACTTGTTGGCGACTCTTTTGCTCTATCTTCTTCCCTTTTGGACACCACCGTACTTTAGTGTATGGTCACAGTGGGGTTCAAGCTAGGGGTTAACGCTTGAAGTTATTCCCTACAAGATGCAATAATAGTTTTCTATCTATAACTTTATAATGTAATAATGTTGCACTTGTACCTATTAATGAAAACGTTTGTAATAGTTTCGAAACGTAATTCATAGTTATTTTTATTAGTCCTGCATATATTATTCTCTTTGTTTTCTTTAGTGTGATAAATTTTTTAATTTTTTTTTTTTATAATTACAGAACTTTCATCCTATTTTGCAATTAGGTACGGAGTATAATTTTTTATAATTCAATAATAGAGTTAAATTAATGATAAGTATTAAGTACTAAAAATTACTAGGGTCTGTTCACTTCAGCTTGATTTCAGTTCAGTTCAGCTCCTAATTTCCTTCTCTCATAAAATATTCATTTTATCTCAATTCAGTTCAACTCCAATTAGTTCAGTTCAGATCAGTTCAGTAAATGTGAACAGACCCTTAACCTAGTTTAACATAAGAGAAAACACAATGGTTGTCCACAACCATTATAGTTATTATTTATTTTATTATTTTTTCTACCTTTCACGTCACTTATAACAACTCTTATACCCATTTGATAACAAATGTATCCCAATATTTAACCACAACATTTGGGTTATACATTCTCTCTCCTAATTTTACTCAACCCCACCACTCACCCTCCATTTGCCACGTCACCTAGGACACATATCAAAAGCAAAAAGTAAGTATTATTTTGATCAATAACCCAAAGTTGTAACTGATTATGAAAATAACCTGGTTATTGGTTTTATTCCACGTAATTTTCTCTCTCTAGTTATTTTATTATTTTATCATTTTCTCTCTCTTTATAACCAAGACAATTGGTTAACTGATGTGTTTGCTCTAAAATAACTTCGATTTATAAATGAGTAGATCCAACAAGATCTTAAATAATTACTATATATTATTTATTGATTTATTTCTACAAGGTAAGAAACACACGCAATGTGTGTGACTTTGCAATATAAAAAACTTGGTTTTGAAAAATATATAAGAAACTAATTAAGCTATATTCTCCTCTTTATTCTTACAAACAACAGTAAATATTTGATGGCGTAAATTAGAAACTATTGAAATATATATATATATATATATATATATATATATATATATATAGTTAAAATATATGAAAAAAAGTTATGAAGTTATGGAGTAGTTTTTATTAGGGTAGGATGGTAGGGTTTTTTTTTTTTTTTATTAAATTTAAATTCAGGTTGATAGTTTTTTTTTTTTTTTTAAAAAAAAATAGTTGAGATAAGGTAGTTATTTGTATTTTATTAAAAAAATTAATATTTAATTTGTAATTTTGAAAATTAAGAAGCGTAATTTGGGAATAGTGAAATTTATCACTCAAGATACCCTTTCTCTTTATATATTTACTATAGATTAGATTAGCAACTATTCAAAATAGGTTATTTGAATTTGACCAAACACATATAAAGGAGAAATTTATTTATTTATTTGACAAATAATGGAGCATTTTTCGAGGAATGGAATGAATACAAATTTTATAATCCAATTCAAGTATGAAGCATTTTGTAAGGCATAAAAATAAAAATAAAGAGGTTGAGAATTAATAGGTGAGATAAGAATAAAAATAATGATTTTCTTATTTGGTATG